GACAACAACCCCCCCTACCCCCTTCCCCTTCCCGCAACGAACGATACCTAATCATCAGTGTGCACGTGACTTAAGGGGGAGGGGCAGGCTTGGGGGAAGTGGAGGAGGAGGAGGAGGAAAAAATAGTCGTTGGGGTAAGTGAGGGTGGGGGGTAGAGGAAGGAACTAGAGAGAGAGAGAGAGAGAAACACGTCCGAGGGTAAAAATCTTCTATGTGGTATCTGCCTTGATCCCATTGCGCGTTCCCGGTTCCGTCCCAGTACCGCCCATTTCATTACATCAATCGCATTTGCGTGAGATAGAGGGGAGAAACAGGGAGAAAAAAAAAGAGAGAGAAGCAAAAGTTTGAAATAAAAAAAAAGATGTGTGTAACCAAAAAAAATTGGGGGTGATTAGGTGGGGAAAAAAAAAGAGTTGCGAGCTAATTTGTGCCTTTAACAGAAATAAAAAAAAGCAACAAAAAAGAAGCTCCTCAAACGCTACTACATCACGTAGTCAAGAAAAAAGGACAAAAAAACTAGATAGAAAAAAAAACCTGGTCGGAAAAAAAAAGAATCGCTGCATAAATGGGTATATTCCTCTTTCTCCTCCCCTCCCTTCTGACCCCAACAGAGAGTCATATCCCGCTTCATCGAATGAATAGAAAATAAAAAATCAGACGTGATTGCGCTGTGGTGTACGTAAGGAAGAAAAAAGGGGGTGTAAAGTCGCAGGGTCGGGGTTTGCTCCGTTGTGGGGACGTGTAGCTCGCTGCGATATTGTCGGGGCGAGGTTCGGAGTCACCTTGTTTGCGGTGATGTATGTGGTTTTTGTCGGTTTTGCTGTTTCTAGAGGTGGGCTGTGTGCAGGTGCCGGGCCAGCCGGTCTGGCAAGTCTGACGAGAAAAAGTCTTGTACAAGCATACTGGCATGATATCCTAGGGTTAACCCCAGTTGAGTTCATCACCCCATGTCCCGCCCATATCGCGTTGGGATTGGGATGCCATGGTATGTTGCGAAATGTTGCTTGGACGGCGCCTCATAATCAGCCGCGAGAAACGGTTTTGGTGTTCATCCTTGGGTGGTGGTGGGGGTGGCTGGTCCATCTGGACACCTCGGTGGCTCGAGTTGTTGGAGATGTTGATCAAGCGTGGAACATAACGGCGCGATGATGGCGGCGTACTAGGCGATTGCTGCTGTTGCTGTTGCTGCTGCAGAAAGTTTGGCGGGAGGCTTTGCCGTGGATAGTGTGCAAAGTTGGAGTACTGCGAAGTTGGCACAGAAACAATCTCCTTGGGCTGCTGAAAGTCCATGTATGCGCCTGATTGCTGGTACGTGAGAAGGTCGGGCGTCGACGAAAAGCCGGGATTCGGCCAGCCTTGTGGTTGTGCCTGGAAACTCTGGGCCATGGGCTGGGAAAAGTCGGTTGGCATCGACGTCATGCTAGTGTCGAATGCATTGAAACCATCCATGCCAGTCGCGGTGCTCATACTGTTGTGAGACATGTCGGTACTAACAGGCCACTGTGATTGCTGCATTTCTTGATGTTGCATCGGCTGCGCGGGCTCTACTGGGTCAATGTCCATCATCATATGCTCTTGGCCAAGTCCATGTGAACTCTCGAGCTTGGTGCCGGTTCCAAAGTCGGAGCCCAAATCTGAAGCCTCCAGCTTGAATTCAACCATTTCGCCCTGGCTGTTGTCGTTGGGCTCCGAGATGTCTGGAGTGCCTTCGTTGGATGATTCGTTGTCTTTGGCGTCAATCTCGGCCAAATCGAAGGTGTCCTGCACCAACTTCTCCACGTCGAATACGCGGGTATCCCATTTGGTTTCGAGCTTGTATCGCAAGCGGTTGCACTTCTTGGACTCCCATGACAATGAGGGCCAATTCTGTTCGTCTCCATAGCGATCCGTCATCATCTGGTTCCATGCGTTGGACACCTCTGGCTGCTTGAGCAGACCCAGGACCACATTCGTAAAGTTCCATTTGGAGGATCCCTTCTCTTCGAAATGCAGCGCAATGTGCTCGCATCGCTCTTCCCAGGTGGTGAGAAGAGCAGCGCAGAAGCCACATCCCCAAGCGTCCTTGTCGTGCATAACGATTTCATACTTTTTGACGCATGGCGACGCTTTTCTGCTCGTTGGCTGGCCACTCTCTCTCGGTTGCTTGCAATGCTCACAGCCCTGTTGAACGTTAGCCTGGGTAGTTTGGTGCGCTCGCCTACTCGACATACATGCAACTTGGTGTGGTGCTCGCGGAAACGCTTTCCGGCGTGGAAGATTTGCTCGCAATCCGGGCAGCGCCATGTGAGTCTCTGCTCGTGAAACTCCTCTTCGTGGGACTTCCAGTAGGGCTTGGACTTGAGCGCCTTGTCGCAGAAGGTGCAGGCAAAGTTCTTGGGGGCGGGGGTCGAGGTGGTGGAGATGGTCGAAAGGCGAGAGGAGGCGGTCGACAGGCGCGAAGAGGCGCCGCTATAGTGGGTAAAAGACGAGTCGGTGGATGCGATGGATAGGCGTGGATCCGAGAGCATGCTGGGGACTCTGCTAGAGGGTACGCTCAGATACGAAGACGCACGGCTTCCAACGGTCGACATGGACGATCTGTCGGAACGGCCTGCAAGACGCGTGAGTAGAGTAAAGCAAGGCGGCGGCGGCGGCGGCGGCAGCAGCAGCAGCAGCAGCAGCAGCAACAGCATGGATGCAAGCAAGTCGACTCACCTCCATTGCGCGCAACCGACAGGAGCTGCAATATCTGCTGGTCATCGAGGTGCTTGAGGGCATTAATGTGATCAAAGAGCTGGGGGGCGAATTGGCTGTGGCCCGAGTGACGGGGCGACGAAGCCCTGCGCTGCCCGGCCCGCGCCTGTCCTGCCTGTCCTGCCTGTCCGTCTGGCTGGCTGGCTGGCTGGCTGGCTGGCTGTCCTGGCGCGCCCCGGCCGGGCTCGCAAAGGACGGCGGCGGCAGCAGCAGCAGCAGCAGCATGGCGGCGGGCCATGTGCGCACACGCTGAGACGCGCCTCGGGCCAATGCCCGAGTATGCACTTCTCTTACAGCACAATGGATCGGTGGCGGTGGGGTGAGGTGCGGCCGGGTCATGCCTGGTGCAAGCGACGGCTCCAGACGCTCTCTACGCCTTGTCGAGCGCAGGCAGGGTTGTCGGGGACAGGACCGCTCAGATGGCGAGCAGATGGGCGTTTCACGTTGCGTGCTAAGTTACCCCTGAGCATGCTGCCCTAGGCTCGCAGCGCTGGGGTCCCTGCAGCGCCGCCACGACGATCTCCCTTTAGGACCATCGGGCGCTTGACGCGTCGCCCTCGACGGCTGCCACGACCTGTACCGCGACGCCGAGCTGGTCAGCTTCAACAGCTGGTGCCGGTGCCTGTGCCTGCGCCTGTGCCTGTGCCGCCGCGCGCGACGACGACGACGACGACTGCAGGCCATTTGCCGCGCCGCAGAGGGCCCATGGGCCGCGCGCGGGCGGCTCTCATGGCAAAGGTGTGCCTGCATGTGCCAAGGCAGTCTCCCTAGTGTCTTCTTGAAACCCGTGAAACAGGCCACGGATCTTGCTCTTCTAAACAAGAGCCATCCGTCTCCGCCCGGGAAATTGGACGATCAATGTCTTCCTGACGGCCTAGCATCCAAGCTTATACCCGTTGGTATATTGTCAAAAGCTTCTCGAACGCTTCCATTTCGCGCGCACTCGCCTGCCTCGCCTCGCCTCCCTTTCCACACTATCACCACTGCTCTTCCCGCCCACCACACGGCCCGTGAACCCCAAATCTCCGGCATGATACTGGCTTCTGCGCGCAAACTTGGATAACATGGAGGCCGACGACGCTCAACTCTACCAGTTCACCTCCCCCCAACAGAGCAGTTCCTTCAAGCGACCGCGCCGCAGCCTGCAGAGCTCCACGCCCTTGAGCAGCGTCACCGAGAGCGTCACAGGGCAGTGCAGCGCCGTGTACGAGGTTCGGATGATAGTCAGGAGAGGCTGGCCGGCGGCCGACTGGCGGTGCTGAACGAATACGGCGACTCGCAGGGCTGCTCTGCCGCAGCAGCACCGAGTGAGAGAGAGAGAGAGAGAGGGAGAGAGGGCGAGGGTGGCCGTCGGCCGCGATGGGGAGCGGTTCTGGCCGCTGCGGCAGCACATCGCGTTCAGCGTCAGCGCCAGCGCCGGCGCCGGTGCCAGTGCCAGCGCCAGCGCCAGTGCGAGCGTCAGCGTCAGCGTCCGGATCGGCACTTGTTCGCCGCGGGTCACGTGCCGGCATCGCATCGCACCGCGTCGCGTCGCATCGCATCGCATCGTCCGTCTGCTGCCCGTCTGCTCCTCGCTCGCTCGCTGGCTGGCTGGCTGCCTGCCCGTCGTGGTGGTGGTGGTGGTGGTGGGCTGGCGGCTGGCGGCTGGCGGCTGGCGGCTGGCTGCTGGCTGCTGTGCGCGCGTCTGTCGTCATGTGGGAGATAAGGCCAGGACTTGTGCAGATCCCGCACAAGGTCGAATCATTGCGCATGCCCGCCGCGAGCCCTCTCTCAACTCCCCACCCTTCCTTGCACGATCGGCCTGGCTAGCAACCGTCTTTCTGGGGTACTGCCCCCCCCCCAAAAAGGGCGCTGCGCTGCTATTTTTGGCCAGCGACACGGGTCCCGTCGCAACAGCTAAGACGTCTGTAAAACAACCACGGCGGGTCTGCTTGGACCAGCCTTCTGCATGAGTCGAAACGCGCCTGCAGCCAACAAGACCGACGGCCCCTCGTCCACCGCGTGTGTAGACGTGAGCCGACCATGCGGAAGTTCTGCGGCGCAGCATTGTATATGCGCGGCGCAACGCTCCCGCGCCGGGCTCCAAGTGTCAGACGTTATGCGCACGCCTTGCTCCCACCCACCACGTCCCCCGGCGCGCCGCCGTCGTAGCCCTCGTGCATGCCCATGTGGCCCGCCGCGTACGGCGCACAGTGCCCGAGCCTGCCAAAGAACCCTCTTGTTTCATGGAACATCCACGCTCGCATCGGCACTTGGGGGATCGATCTCAGGCGCCGACAGTCGGCTGGTCCAGAGATTGCATCATGCATTCATGCTGTTGCTGTTGCTGCTGCTGGCCTGCATGGCCGAGCGCCCCAGGCAGCCCGCCTGCATTCCTTCCTGGCGACAGAATCAGGCGCGGTGCTGAGCCGCCTTGCCGTGTCCAATTGCCAGCCTGCTGCATCATCCATTGCCTGCTGCTGCCCATGGCCAGCCACAGCTCCCTCAGCGATTCAAATCTTGGGTAAATGGCTAAAACAAAGCCGTCAGGATCGAGCAGGGTGAGCCAAGCATCCCATCTCCGTCGACAAAGCCTGCCACCACACCCACCTCTGCTATGCTGGTGCCAAACATGCCACCATCGGCATCCGTGTGTCATGCCTAGTCATAGTCGTGAGCCAGCCGAGCCTCGTATGGCGCAGAAACGGCAGGAACATCGGGCAGAAAAAGCCATGCTGCCATAAACTTGCTGCACCTGCGCCAAAGCGAGGCAAAAAGAAAAAGGAACAAGCATAAAACGGCCCGGCTAAGACACGCAAAGGCAATATGCCATGCCATGCTTGCAATAATGCCCGTCGTGGACATGATTTGTGCAAGCGACAGCCCCGCCAGCACAAAATGGTGTTGAGTGGTTGCCTGCCGCCCGCCCAAACAGGCCTAGCCCCACTTACCACCCACATGCGGACAGGCGCGAGTCGCGACACGCGACGCGCGACGCGACCATGGCAATCACGCGTCTTGTCCAAGCTTTCTCCATCCACGCCCACTTCCCCCGCCGTGTGTATACGCAATTCAACATACCAGGCACTGGGCAATTCTCATTCGTCTGTTGTTGTTGTTGTTGTACATTTCGTGATTCCCACCACAAGCAAAACCACACATTGGCTGTACACCCTGATTGTGCGCTTTGCCGACACCGGCTTTTGCAATCCTCTTCGCGGTCAAGCACGCCTTCCAGAACACAGCCCGCCAACTGCAACCCCGCATTGAATCACACCGGCTTGGGTCCATCTTACCTACCCGTCAGCATAGATTCAAGGCAACAACCCTCAGCAGCCATGTCATGCTCACCACCACGCGCACCGGACGCGTCCGCGAAGCCCCGACCAAAACTTCTCGCAGCATTACGGAAACCCGCACCAGAATCTTCGGAGAGCGAGCCCGAGTCTGATGACGGAAGCTCAGCATCCGAAAACGAGTCATCCACTCTCACCACTATACCAAAACCCCTCACGACGACACGGCCACAGCTCGACATAACACAACCCAACGACCATGACGAGAGCGATGGAGAAGATGCATACGAACTCATGAAGAAACGACTGGCTGCAGCCAAGACCTCAAAAGCAGCCGAGCCAGCACCACAACAAGCATCAGACCACACATCTGTCGTTGCTACCATTGAAAGTAGCGAGGATGAAGACGCAATGCCTGTTCGAACCAAAGTCCGCAAATCAGTCGCGCAGAGGAGCAGGACTACAAGCCCACCATCACCAGGTCTATTTGTCACGCCAGACCCTTCACCAAGCAAGAACAAGTCCCGACCACCATTGGATGCCGGCTCCGATTCAGAAGCATCGCAGCCCACACAAAACACTGATTTGCAAGAGCGAGTACGGCGCATCCGGGAGGAGCGATTGGCGAAACAGCAGGAGCAAGAAACACAACAAACAAAGCCCAACAAGGCCGCGCGGCGGCAAGCAGATGCCGGCTCTGGTAGCGACACAGATGGCGAGAGCGGCAGGCGGCTTACCCAACAGGCCAAGCCGACTCGAAGAGCGGGCAAGAAAGCCATCGAGGCCATGGCCCGCGACCAGCAGCGTATCAGTCGCAATATGCAGCTCACGCACCAAGCAAAGACGAAGAAACGCTTCACTACACAGGATCTGTTTAAGAAGTTCAACTTCCAAGCACCAAATGCTGATGCCCAAGTTCTGCCAACCCCCGAACCCAGTTCAGCGTTGGCTTCTTCTGATGCAGAAGTGAACCAAGTGCAAAACACTCCACCGACAAGCCCACAACAACAAAACGGTGCTTCCGAACAACAAGCTATTCCAAATATTCAGCAACCACCTGTGCCAGCATCAGACACGCAGAACGACATTCTCTCCCCAGAGCCCGTCAAGTCCGACAAGGGCAAAGGAAGAGCGCCCGAGTTCCAACACCTACCAGAGCACCCTTGGATGAAACAGTCAGGAACAGTGACCGTACAAAATGCCTCAGTACAGACAAGCAAGGCTCCAAATCATGACATGGTGGAACTCTCTGATTCGGATGATGGCCTTTCGGCGGAAAAGCCAAAGAGCAGATTTCCAGTCTTCGACCGACTCCCGACGAAGAAGCAGCACGAAGCAGCTTCACTCGTGCGTCTGCGTGCCCTTGCCCAGTTGACAAAATCTCCTCCAAAAGTCAAGAAAGGCCAGAAGTCTGTCACTCGTGGCGAGATGGAGATGCTGCTGGCGCAAAAGGCTCGTGAGCAGACTGCAAAAGCCCGAGAAGAGAGGATTGCTGAGCTCATCCGACGAGGTCATAACCCTGAGACCGAGGAGGAGAGGGAAAAGCGCCAAGTCGAGATTGATGACATGGTGGCACTGCTTGAGAAACAGAGACAAGAGGACCTTGAGCTTGCTAAAATGGAAAGAAAGGAGGCCAAGAAGAATGGTGAAACGATAGATAACCTGCCATCCAGTGATGAGGAAGATGACGACTACATTGGAAGTGGAGAAGAGGACGCAGGTGAGGACGATGACGAGAACGAAGAGGAAGAAGTAGAGGTCGAGCTCTCTGGTTCAGAGGATGAAGAGGTTGAGCATTCTGATGATAACGAAGGCAACCGAGCCGAAAATACCGACGGCCTCGTTGACGATATGACTGACGAGGACAAGCCAGAGATGAAGCAAGCAGCACATGACCAAGATGCAAATATGGAAGACGACGATGGCAGTGTTCCTGTTCGAAGGCAGACTGTCATCAGAGCCCGCAATAGAGTCGTTGACGACGATGAGAGCGACACTGAAACAGTCAAGAATGCCACACCGACCCAGCCAACCACTCAGAACGATGCCATGGCAGCTTTCGGCTTCGGTAAGGCCAACACCGATGTAGGCCTTACCCAAATGTTCGCTGGCACCATGGCGGACCTTGAATCCGAGTCTCAGCCGCCTGCTGCTGCTCTTGACCCCGAGCAAAATTCTCTCGACTTTTTACGGAACCTACCCGAAACCCAACCTGGCGCAAATTTTAGCCAGGCATCAGACTTCATCGTTCCCAATAGCCAATCTTTGATGTCACCACAAAAGGGATCACAGACTGGCCACGAATCCCAGCTCAACTTGGATATCAGCCAGGTGGTCAAGACTTCGCCCGACCTTGCACAGACACAAGTCGAAGATTTTGAACCAACCCAGGACGCTGGGTTTTCCTTTTCTCGCTCACCAGTGGGTCTTGCGCCGCCACCATCTACAGTGGACACTGTCATGATGACTGTTGCTGAATCTCCAATCAAACAAAGGAAGGGCAAGCTTCAGCGTGGACGACGAGAGGCGACTGTCGAGCTTTCAGATGCTGATGAAGACTTGGTCAATAATGAAGAGGAAGAGAGCGAAGACGATATTCAGCGTCCGCCCAAGCCAAGCAAAGATGCCTTCAGAAGAATGCAGGAGGCAGCCAAGAAAGCGAGAGCCGCCGAAGAGTTCGACAAGAAGAACAGCTTGGCAAGGGAGGCTGTCATGGAGCAGGCTGAGGAGTCTGAGGATGAGTACGCTGGACTTGGAGGAGCCAGTGATGATGAAGAGGGAGAGGAGGATGAAGAGCTCAAGGCCATGATTGATCACAACGATGTCAAGGTCGACGAACGCCAAATCGCTGCTTTCTATGCGTAAGTGCAGCCTTGTTCATGGTTCCTCGGTCGCAAAACTGACACGACGCAGTGACAAAACGAAGAAAGACGACGAGAAGCAGATTGCCGACCTTTACAAGAAGATGCAAAGCAAGGGTGGTCTCCGCAAGCATGCTGGCGGCTATGATGGCTTCGACATGTCAGACTCTGAAGACGAGGCTGAGATGCGCCAGCGCAGGAAGCGAGCGGAATTCCAAAAGCAGACGAATGCGTTGCTGCAAGACCAGAAGGTCAAGGCTCTGGCTGACGACGCAAAGAAGAAGGCGTTCTTCAACACACTGGCCGACTTTGCCGACGAGGGCGAATACGACTACCTCAACATGCCTGAGAATGAAACGGAAGTAGACTCTTCGCAGTCTCCATCCCAACCACAAACCCCGGACGACGACATTGCCATTCCAGACTCACAAAGCCTCGCTACCTCAACAAACATTCCGCTGAAACGTAAATCAGAGAGCTCACAAAAAGAGAACCGCCCGCCTCCACACATGCGCCGCACAGCCGCCTCCGACACATTGAGCCGCAAGCCCCTCACAGCCGACGATGTCAAGCACTCCATCTCGGAGCTCATCGAAGACCCACGCATTGTAATTCCCAATTCTCAGCTCTCAGACGCAGAGGAAGACGACGATGAGTCCATGCCTACAACCAAGCAATCTTCACACCGAAAACCAATCATCGACCGCCTGACACTAAGCCGGCAATCGACCGTCGACGACTCCACCGTAAGCGCAGATTCCAATCTAGCATTCCACAGCTCGAAGCGCGTAGCTTCGGCTCCAGGCTTCCGCGTCCCCTCGCTCATCCGCCAGGCTACTAGCAATCTCTCTGTGAGCAGCGAGCGATCCTCCGGTAGCGGTGCACCTGCGTCTGCGTCCAAGGAGTCCGGCGTCAGGAGAGGCGGTACCGGACGCAGCAATATCCATGCGCAAGCCAGAGAAGCGGAGCGCAGACAACTGCTGGACAAGAAGGAAAGTAAGCGGAAAGAGGCGCTCAAGAAGAAGGTTGAGGGCGGTAGGAACAAGGGCATGAGGAGTGTGTTGAGTGATCTTGGAGGTGGATTTGAATAGTATTTTTTTTTAAAAAAAAAATTCTTTACTACTGGAAGGAGGCGGGCTGCTCTTCTTCTTCTTCTTCTTCTTTAGTTCTTAATTGAAGCCAGCGTTTGTTTATTTGTTTGTTTGTGCGCGTTACATACAAAAGCAAATGCATACTTGGGTGTACATTAACATTACATATCATGAGTTTTCGCAATAGACTTGTGTTTTTAATTTGATTTTTCTATCACCCATTAAAGGACAAAAACAGCATGTCGTTTACCTGATTGGCGTTCTGGCTTCGTGTTGGCTGGGTGGGGGATGGTGGAGGGAAGAAGGTAGAGGAAACAGGAGGAAAGGGAAGAAGGTGAAAGGAGAAAAGGGGGGAGGAAATAATGTGACTCGAGGGTGGCCAGATCGTGAATCTAGGAGCCATAACAATAATAATTATTATATCACGCATATCACGCATATACCTAAAGATTTCCCATTTTCCGCATTTTTTTTCTTTTTTTCTTTACAGCTTTTCTGTTGGGAATTCATATTGCCGGTGTAGAAAACAGGGATGGCGAGGAGTGGTTTGGAGGGTGGTGTGTTTATTTGCGTGTGTGCGTGCGTGTGTGCATGTATGGCTGGACTAACTAATTGATTAATTGATTGATTGACTATGTGACTTGGGAAAAAATTGGGGGGTTTGGAATGGCTTGGTGGTAGGAGAGAATTTCTTGCGATTTGTTAGCTGTTGTTTATTCTCTTCTTCTTCTTCTTCTTCTTCTTCTTCTTCTTCTTCTTCTTCTTCTTCTTCTTCTGAGAGAGAGAGAGAGAGAGAGAGAGAAACCAATCCTATCCAAGTCAGGCTAGGTTTTAGGATACATACAGTTGGATAGTGTGATAGGAAGCAGATATTTCGTTGCAGTTTATTAATTTACGTTCCTATCCACTTAGTGGGCCCAGGGAAAGAAAACAGGGCTTGGAAATATGCTGGCGGTATTGCTGAAGGTTTAGTGTTGACTGTTTTTTTCTTTTAACTTTGCCGTGTGGTGATGGTGAACAGGATGCATGTCGCGTTGGGAGATCGACTGCGTTGGTGCGTTGGAATTACTCAAAATAAATACCTGAATAAGATGGCTTTGTAAAGGCGGTAAGTATAGCTACTGGGATGATATTTATTGTTATCAAGTGGTTGAAATCTCTTATAGAATTCAATTGAGTTAGTATTCTTCTAGTTATACAAGTATGGCGGCGGTATTACGGAGGTGTTGGAGATGCTCTTCATTTTTGTGAGGTGTTTGCCTATTACCCTGTGATGTAAAGAAGCACAAATTTTAAATATCTTAGCCTTCTTGCTAATGTGTGAAGTCTCGGTTTTCTTTTGTCCACCGAGTACCCCTGTTTTCAGCCGCAGATGCAGCTTTAGGCAGACGGCATTCGAGACTCAGCCACCAACCCCCGCAGCTGAGCATGTCTTACTGCAGTGCAAAACATAAAAGTAATCTTGTAATTTCAAGGCCACCATCTCCTCATTCTTTCTGTACTCTGTGAATGCCGAAACCCCTCGTTTTTCATACTTTGAAACCCATCAAAGGCATCCCCTAGCAAACCCGTGCTCACCTATTACTCATTCACACTCACCACACTCACTACAATCATGGAACCGGCTGGCTTGGCTGTAGGCATCCTTGGTCTTGCTGGTGTCTTCAGCAACGCTGTAGACTGTTTCGAGTACGTTCAACTGGGCCGCAACTTCAGTACGAATTTCCAAACCAGCTTGCTCAAGCTGGATAATGCGAGGCTACGACTTTCGCGATGGGGCGAAGCCTTAGGTGTGAACGGCAATTATGGCGCTATTCAAACACTACAACAAACAACATTCCCGGAGGAAGATGTAAAAAGGGCGGATGAATTACTAGGACAAATACTCCATTTGTTTGATGAAGCCCAGAAAGCATCTGAGCAGTATAAGAGAAAGAACAAATCCGACGGCTCTTCCCTCGCCGTGCTCGATGTACAGGCAGAAATGGACAGCGCAGGCCAATCCTTGCACGAGAAGATGCGCAGTCTCTGCATCAAGCGACAAAAAAAGACATCGCTGAAACAAAAAGCCAAATGGGTTTTGTACGAAGAGAAATACCTCAACAGGCTCGTGGAGGATATCGTCAGCCTTGTCGACGATCTGACAGAGTTATTCCCAACGGTTCAGCAGGAACAACAAAAGCTATGCGAGGCCGAAGTGAGCGAGCTGGCGAAGTCCGAGGGCAGCAATGAGTCTCTAGAGTTGTTACTGGAAATTGTCCAGTCCCAGGACAAGGACTTGAAGGCTGCCTTGGCTGCCGCTATGAAGCCTGATGTAAGTTTGTCGAGAAGACAGATGAAGGGAGTGTTAGTGACTGACCCTTTAACAGCAGAGTAATCCGGGTGCTACTTTCAGGAACGATAACTGCAACATTGGAAACCAGGCTCAAAATGTGGCGATTCATGGTGGTCAGAATTTCCATTTTCTCAGTTAGCGTCACTTGGTTAGAAGTATGTAGAACAGCTAGAACCGAATAGAGCCGTTACATCGATAGTAGAAGACTCAGCTTGTATTTAGTAACAGTGTTTTGGTTTTATAACTTTTGGTGCGCAATATATTGGCTTTGCAAATTTGTTGCGGACAGAGATGATACAATCATTCTGAACCGATGTTTATGGCGATCTGGTTTTGAGAGATCTGTATACAGAAACATTACTGGCGCGACGACCACATTGGAAATTCAGCAACTGGTTTGTCCTATGCTATCATATTTGGGAAACGTGTGGTTAAAGTATTGTGCTTGGGATACTGAGCATGCCTACCAAGTTGCAGTAAAGAATGGTAACATACTATTGGAAATATGTGATAGCACTATGAGAAAAATATTGGATAGACAGTGCGGCAATAGATCGATGTCTCAACGGTATTTTTTCAGATGACAACGTGTATCGCGAGCTGAACTTGCGGCTGAGCTTGCGGCTGAGCTGAACTTGCAGCCAAGTCCAGAAACTGGCTCGCGTCCTGCAGTTTCCGTGGCGCTCGACACGCGCTAGCTACTGAGGAATGCTTGCTTGAGTGAGAGTTGTTCCTTCTCAACAATTTGCGTAGATACGAATTCTCCAGCTCTGTCAGATCACCATGAGTTCTGCCCAACCTGTGAGCTTCACCAACGATGATAGCAACATCGCAATACAAGCTGGACAATTCATTGCCCATGGACCTACAAATGTGGTTCAGTATGGTCACTCGCACAGCTCAGATACAAATGGCTGACAGACACAGACAAACACAAGACGCACTCAGCCAACTGCCCCGCGCTGCGGACGCATCCTTCAACTCGTTGGCAAAGCAACACGAGCCTACCTGTCTCGAAAATACACGCACCGACCTCCTGGAAAGAATACACAGTTGGGTAGAAGGTCTGAATGAGCGTCATATCTTTTGGCTGTGCGGTCTAGCGGGCACAGGAAAGTCCACGTTAGCACGAACTGTCGCGCGTCACTACCACGACCAGCAGCGTCTTGCGGCGAGCTTCTTCTTCTCACGCGGCGGCGGAGATACTGGCCACGCACGCCAGTTTGTTACGACTATCGCGGTGCAGCTTGCAGAAAACGTACCAGCATTAAAGCAATATGTCTCTCGTGCAGTTCTCCAGCAAAGAGATATTGCTAACCAAGCTCTCCGGGATCAGTGGCGTGGCCTTGTCCACGATCCGCTCTCAAAGCTTCACGACAAGCCAACCACATTCGTTCTAGTAGTCGTTGAAGCGCTCGACGAGTGCAACGATCGCCAAGATATCCTGGTCATTATTCAGCTGCTGGCGAGTGCTCAATCGTACCCAGGGGTCCGGCTGCGATTTTTGCTCACAAGTAGGCCAGAGGGTGCGATTCAGCAGGAGTTCTCCAAGCTATCAGTAGAACGCCACAGGATATTGCCAGCAGATGACGGCGACGACGTAGGCCTTTTTCTAAAGGAAACACTCGGCGAAATTGCTCAGAACAGTCGTCAACCGACAGGCTGGCCAGGTGAGAATACTATCGAGCAACTATGCCAGCGCGCAAGTGGCCTGTTCATCTGGGCGGCAACTGTGTGCCGCTACATCAGTAGAGATGAAAAGAGAGGCTTTGTTCAGAGTCGACTGGAAACCATTCTTCAGAACAGCAGTCCTGATTCTGGTCCAGAGAGACAGCTTGATCAGATTTACAACACTGTCCTCGATTCATCGGTCTCGAAAGTCGATGAGATATACAAAGATGATTTTCGGTCTCAGCTAAGACACGTTCTTGGAACTATAGTGGTCTTGGTTTCTCCGCTTTCTGTGTCATCCCTCGGCCAATTGTTTGGATCGGGAAACGTGGTTCCGGAAGACGAGCTTGATGGTGTCCTCGAGGATCTCCATGCCATCCTCGATATTCCCAGCGACAGAAGGCTACCACTCCGCTTACACCACCCGTCGTTCCGGGATTTCCTGCTCCACGAATCCCGATGTCGTGAGGGGTTCAGGGTAGAGGAGAAGTCAGCCAATTCTCTACTGTGGAAAAGCTGTATACAACTGATGTCGAACTCTCTCAAGCTCAATATCTGCGAGGTCAAAAGACATGGCACATTAGTGGCGGAGGTGGACATTAAGAAAATAGAGCAGCACCTTCCCCTCGAGTTGCAATATGCATGCAGCTATTGGATACAGCATCTTGCGAAGAGCGGTGACCAGCTTAGCGACCACGACCAGGTGCATAAATTCATCCAAGAGCATTGCCTGCACTGGCTAGAGGTGTTGGGATGGATAGGGAAGGTACCTGAGGGCGTTCACAGCATTATTTCCTTAGAATCGATGATCGTGGTAGGTTGCTTTCACGATATGTATCGCGCGTCGCTAACATGAACAAAGACAAGCAACTGTCCCCAGCTATACGCAGTCGTACACGACATGAAGCGGTTTGCGCTGTACAATCGGTCAGCAATTGAACAAGCTCCACTGCAGGTGTATTGCAGTGGGCTGGTGTTTGCACCAAATAGCAGCATAATAAAATGCCAATTCGAAGACAAGATGCCAAGATGGATCACGAGGCGGCCTCACGTGGACAGCAACTGGAGTGCGCTACTACAAACGCTCGAGGGTCATTCTAGAGGAATCAACGTGGTGGCCTTCTCACCAAACGGTGAGGTTCTAGCTTCAGGATCAGATGATGCAACAATCAAGCTATGGGATGTAGGAACAGGTGCGGCGCTGCAGACACTTAAGGGACACTCATCCAAAACCAGTAGGTTAGCCTTCACGCCATGCGACAGCGAAGTGCTAGCGTCAGCGTCAGACGATAAAACGGTCAAGCTATGGAATGTAGGAACAGGTGAATTGATATGGAACGTAGGCACAGATGAATTGCAGCCGCCGTTCTCCAGCTTGTCAGGCTGGGCTAGTGCATTAACCTTCTCATCGGATCATAAGGTGCTGGCTTTGGTGCTACAACATACAACAGTGGAGCTATGGGACATGCAGTCAAAAGAGAGGCAACAAGTGCGAGACTACGGTCAAAAGAGGGTCCACGACGTGGTCTTCTCGCGCGATGGCACGGCGTTAGCATTGGTATCTGATTTTGGAACGTTCAGGCTAATGGACGTAGACAAGAATGTGGAGGTATACGCAGTCGAGAGCGAAGGCGAAGGAAGAGTGGCCGTCTCGTCTCATGGCGAAATCATGGCGTCGGTATTAAAGAGGGAGAATCTCAAATTACGGCATATGAATACAGACACGCCAATCAGGATATGGAAAGACCGTTCAATCATCAGTGTATCCAAAGGTCATTCACATGAAATCAGACTGGTAGCTTTATCGCCGAACGGCACGCTGTTAGCGTCGGTATCAAGGGATGAGACGGTCAAGTTGTGGGATACAGGAACGGGTAAATTGGTGCAGACATTCAAGGGCTATTCATTCTTCAACAACGCAATGGCCTTCGCACCCGACAACAAGGCGCTAGGATTCATATCCACCAATGCAGTCAAGCTGTGGAAGTTAGACACGGGTGCAGTGGTGCATACGCTTAAAGGTCATTCAGGCCATGTCCGTACTGTAGCCTTCTCGCCGAACAGCAACGTGTTAGCATCAGGGTCAGATGATAACACAATCAAAATATGGGAAGCTAGCACGGAAGGATTGCCTAAAGCATTACAAGGACGTTCACGCGGGGTCAAAGAAATGGTCTTCTCGCCAGACGGTAAAATGCTGGCATCAGTAACAGGCGATAGGATAGGAAGGGACTGGATGGTCAAATTGTGGAACACAGAAACTGGCCAAGTATCTCACACTCTCAACGGACATTCAGATGGTGTTCACGCGGTGGCCTTCTCGTACGACTCAAAGCGACTGGCTTCGGCGTCCCACGATCTTACTATCAAGATCTGGAATACCAGTAGCGGTACATGCCTGCAGACGCTTGTTGGCCATGAGCGCTATATCTCCTCGGTAGCTTTCTCCTACCTCTCGACACGATTGGTCTCAGCCTCCGGTGACTATACCGTTAAGATCTGGGATGTGAGAAGCGGTTCGTGCCAGAAGACACTTATCGGCCATTGGGATTGGGTTAGGACAGCGGTATTTTCGCCAAACAACGATATGCTAGCGTCGGCATCAGATGACGGGACTGTGATACTATGGAATGTGTACACAGGTGAAATTATATACAGGTTCAGGGGCCATTCACAACATATTTGGGCAATAGCCTTTTCGCCAAACGGGAAGATGCTGGCATCAACATCGCGAGACAAGACAGTCAGGTTGTGGGATTTGGACACGAGACAATTAGTATGGGAACTCCAGGGCCATTCTGATGATGTTGTTGCGGTTACCTTTTCACCAAACGGTACGGTTCTAGCATCGGCATCGGAAGACAAGATCGTCAAGCTATGGGATGTTCACCAAGGAAAGCTGTGGAAAAATTATCCCGTGGAAGTTGATGTTACTACGCTCTCTTTTTCTCAAGACGCCGACTTCCTATACACCAATCGCGGACTCATCTCCACAGGCCTTTCTATTCCATTCTTTCCACCTCAAACACCACTGCCTGACATCTTTGTTGGAGAGCAATGGATATACTATCAGGGCTCGAGAAGACTATGGCTTCCTCCTGAGTACAGAGCAACTTACGTGGCTGTACACGGCAGGACCGTAGCGCTGGGTCACACCTCTGGTCGAGTATCTCTACTGGAGATTGCTTTCTAACATACCTTTTCCCATTTTTGTACTTCTTTACCTCTCTTGCATATTTTCTTGTAGTACTACAGCAATTACATTGGCTTCAATCTCAACATATTACATCAAACTCTTTAACAACATGTGGTTCAGTCAAATTCGTTGATTAATTATTCGCCAGATATACCCTCTTCCATTTTTCATTGAAGAAACTGCAAAATAGCGTAATACTTGCTTTTATGCACGTTCCAACATTCATGAAACAAAGCAGAATAATAATAACTTAGCATATGTAGAGTGCAGGTTATGCTAACTCTCAGCTGTCTTATACCATGAACGCTACTGCGTGTGAAGTCCACTACGTGATGTAGCGTCGAGACCACTTCTCGAATAAACAAAGAAAATGATACCAACTAATGAATTGTAACATGCAGCGCATAGTACCACAGTACCATCTCCTAACATACACCGTACAGCGTATGAAATCCACAACGCCAGCTTCGAGACCATCCATAGCACATAGAAGGGGGTTATTTCTCTAACAGTGATGTAGAAGTATTATCTAACAATGACAACAAGAAAAGCAGATACACCCCAATTCCCCAGAGTACGTAGCACTGCAACCCGCCTCCCCCCCACAAAAAAAACGTAACGACAACAGCTAAGAATGATCATCGCATCGACTCCAGGGCACACACACATCAAGGGCCAGAACACGACACGACACAACACACAAGTACCATGATTGGGCAACCACACAACCTATCCGGGGACCAACCGAATCCCCCCCAAATAGCGTCAGCTCTGAACGATCGAGAGCAGCCCGCGATCCAGACATGCCCGCATCCCCACACGTCTCGGGCCTCGCTCCGGGGGATTTTTTTCAGCGGACAACGGGGTCCATAGCAAGTGTAATTCCTGGGGTGGGTACCCTTTCTGTGCGCCGTAGAACTCGCGCAGGTACCGAACCGGGAAAGCAACAAGAAAAGAAGGAAAAAAAAGGGCTGGGTCGCAGGGTAATTGCAAGTATGGATATTGGTTGGTAAACGTATTATTTTTTTTTCAATTCTCTTTCTTTCTAAGCTCTGATTCTTTTTTTCTTCGTCTTCTTCTCTTTGCTGTTGAACACCCAAACCTCACCTTCTTTGTGCGAAGCCGGAGAAGCTGAGCGCTCCCCCCCTTCTAGCCCGGAATACATACATACATATGTGTTTCTGGTCTGCAGCGTGCTGAAAAGGGGAGTTTTTCTTCTTCCTGCGTCACCACCACCACTATTTTCAGCTTGGATCTATATTATTTTTTCTCTCTCTCTCTTCTTCTACTTCTTCTTTCACAAATGCTGTACTTCACCCTCTCCGACGTCCTCGCTCTCCCTTACTACTACACGCGCACGAGACTGCACCAGCTACTCCACGAAATGGGCCTCAAATCACGAACCAGTTTCCTGCGAAAAGGCGCGGAGCGCCACACGACCGACGACACACCGTGTTGCATCTGCCACGAGACAATTGCCAAAAAGAGCACGTTCTGGTATCTCTGCGCGCAGCTCCGCAACACGCGGAACGCAACTCGGAATTTCGTGTTGCGCGGGCACGCGGGAGGCAGCAAGACGCTGACGCCGCGCGCCGAGTCGTCGCCGTGGAACTGCATGATGCGGATTAAGCGGTGCGGACACTGCTTCTGCTACGACTGTCTGGAGACGTGGGTGCAGGAGAAAAATACGTGTCCCATGTGCAGGGACGTGCTGTTTGGTGCTCCGAAACGGGATAAGCATGCCGGTGGTGAGCAGCAGGCCAGGGGATTACGACATGCATCAAGGGGACATGCAGTGGTGGTGGGCCAGCCGGTGGAGCGGAGGGCGCCGAGAAACTCTATCCATCGCGCAAACCATGGATACGTGCGGGAGAGTGTGGTTGAGGGTTGGATCTTGGTTGGGAGGGGTGCCGAGCAACTTGAGAACGCGATGGAGCGGGCCAAGATGGGCTAGCATGGAAGAGCGTTATGGCTGCAAGGGGTTTGACGGAGAACTTGAGTGTATTGGATTTGCTGGGTTGGAATGGGCAAGATGGCGCTCATGCACGTTGCGATGGTGTTGGTCCGCGTCGTGGGTGTGGGGAAAAGCGCCACACAGACCTAGTGGGTGTGGCTGTGCGCCAAGAAAAAGCAGAGCGTGTGGCGGTTCCGCCGGCAGCGTCCCCTGTCTGTGGCTTAGCGTCGAGTATCGTCAGGTAACCGTGTCCATTATCTTATTACACCGTGTCTATTACTACGACGTCATAGCGAAACAATGCAGGGACGCTGCGAGTAACAAATCCCAGGCAGCCGTTGTGAATAGCATGGCGGTGGGTCTGACATGGCATGCGCCAGAAGTGCTTGGCTTCTCAAACTGCGTGTTTGACATGGCGAAAATTTCAAATCTACCATGGCATGGTCACGCAGAGTATTGCTGACAATTGCATGTCGGGTTTGCTGCCTCGCCTGCTTCCAACATAAGGAATATCGGCAGCCCGAACCAACGCCAGCGCCAGCACCAGCACTAGTATGCACCAGCATGAGCGATATTGATATCAGATTGGGCGGCGCCTAGGTAAGCAGCATGGTGTAGCAGAGATTTGGGAGACTAGAGTACTAGGATGAAAAAAATACCCCTATTAAAATAGCGCAGAATTAATTGGGTGCAACACCACGGATTGTGCAGTATATATATCTTAGCATCACAACAAATACCTCAATTTCTAAAAATTCTGCACCTTTGATTGAGAATTTGGTGAATAGACGCAAGTGTGTGGCGAATGGCGAAGGGCTGCTGTATTTCCGTCGAGCCGTGTTTTTGGTCCAGTAGGTCAGTCGATCAAGAGACAGAGTGCTCACCTTCAATGCAGACAGCAGCGGAAATCTTCACCGGCGTCATCCAAGCCAAGCGAGCCTTTGTTTCCGGTCAGCGCGGCCGTGAGTCATAGGCGAAGATGCATGCCACCCCAGCAGCGCGCGCACGCAGCAGGCTGCAAGCAGCCCAGCACCAAGGCCTCTGCAACCCACCCCGCATGTTGGCGCTGTCGCATCAGCTCCATCGCCTATAAATCGGGATGTTGCTCTCCTTGTCGCAGCGAGGATGCATGTATCGTCGTCGACTGTGTGCTGCCGGCCGGGGTGGCACGCCCAGACAGGCAGGGGAAGCGCAGGTTGTCGCACCAGTGGCAAGGGTGGTGAGCGGATTGCGCAGGCCAGAGGGGGTTGTGCAGCCAGCAGGAGTGGGAGTGGGAGTGGGAGCGGCGAGGCTGTGAGTTGCGGTGGAACGAGAAAAGGGAAAAAGGAAAAAAAATCTTTCGCGTTGCGCCGTTGGAAGGCGGCCATGGTGCGGCAAGTGAGGCGATGGGGTCGAGTGGACGGACTGGAATGGGGCCTTGGCTCAATCCGGGTCAGTGCGTCGTCATCGCTGGTCGTGAGGTAAGGCAGCAGCAGCTGCGATCATCATCATCAGGGCAGCAGCAGCAGCGGCGGCGGAACGCACAAGACGCAGCCTCGTCGACGGCACGCGGCGACACGGCGGACGCGGCGGGCGCGAACAATGCACGGCACGGCACTGCGACGGACGGGCTCCGGACACGGCGAGGGCGAGGGCGAGGGCGAGGGCATGCGCTGGGGGGCGGCGCGGTGGAAGCTGGGCGGAGGGTGAAGGAGGCAACAACCAGCGCATGATGGTGCGAGGCCCCTTTTACTCACTGCAGAATCTTCTCGCTACCGAAAACGTGAAGCTAAGCCCCACCAATCGCCGCCCCATCCCTGCCGCCTAGCGCCGCGCTAGGGCCTTGGCACGTAGCCGCCTGCAACTATAAGTTCTCGGCCTCCCCCCAACTTTTGCACGAGATTTCCGCCCTGCCGCCAGAGTCGCAACACGTCAACCTTCCCGCCCGCCGTCGCCGCAGCTCGAAACCAAACCCTGTTTCCACTGCGCGCCCTCTAATACTGCGACTCCCAAGCCTCTGTGTGCTCCATTCCGCACTTCCACTCTCTCAGAGGCCCTAGGCGACTGCGATCGGCGCTAGCTCTATTCAGCTTGCCATAGCCCCTGCCCTGCCGTGCGCGCAGCCTCAGCACCCCCCAGTCGCGCCCAACGACTTACCCCGCCAAAGGCTTGCTGGCTACGCTTTTGGTCTCTTAATCTCTCTACTAACCCGGCCGTCTGCTCTGCGACCGCTACCGCCCAACGAGACTCTTGTCGACGTTCGCGAGGGACACATTCGCTTGTAGCTCTCCTGCCTCCGGTACCTAGCCCACACAAACACACACACACCCTCAGGCTGTCCCACTCTCCCTGGGCGTCGACCGACCTCGCGCTGCCCTTGCGATCTCGTAGTCCGCTCGCCTTGACCGTCGCTGCCGTCGCAAAGAACTACTTCTGACCTGCGCAGTCTGTCAAGATACCTATATCTCCACTAGCGTCTATCGCTCCAAATCCAATCAATAATCTCATCATGGATCCAAACTCTCTCACCTCTCATCCGTCCACCGCCGCCCAGGCTCAGACGGTAAGCCTCTCTCGTGATGTCTCCTCCCATTGTCCGCACGCTTCTAACCTCTGCTCGCAGTTCGTGGCTCCCGGCTCTCTCTCGTACCCTCAAGGCGCAAACTTGGACATGACTGCACCCTCGACTGAGCAAAACACTCAACAGGTTGCTGACAACGCGAACGGTGTTGCTACCCCGGCGGCTACTCCCGATACCCAGAACGGCCAAGTGCCCTCTGGTATCGTGCCTACTCTCCAGAACATTGTCGCCACCGTCAACCTCTCCGCTCGCCTCGACCTCAAGACCATTGCTCTGCACGCCCGCAACGCCGAGTACAACCCCAAGCGTTTTGCTGCCGTTATCATGCGTATTCGTGAGCCAAAGACAACGGCCCTGGTCTTTGCGAGTGGGAAGATGGTTGTGACTGGTGCCAAGTCTGAAGACGACAGCCGCCTTGCTTCCCGCAAATATGCGCGGATCATCCAGAAGCTGGGGTTCAGTGCAAAGTTCACCGTATGTCGCATCGCGTCGAGCATCTGCAGCACAATGCTAACACGATGACAGGACTTCAAGATCCAGAACATTGTCGGCTCTTGCGATATCCGCTTCCCCATCCGCCTCGAGGGTCTGGCCTCTCGCCACCACACTTTCTCGTCCTACGAGCCTGAACTGTTCCCTGGTCTCATCTACCGCATGATGAAGCCTAGGATCGTTCTCTTGATTTTCGTCTCTGGCAAGATTGTCCTCACTGGTGCCAAGGTCCGTGAGGAAATCTACCAGGCCTTTGAGCTCATCTACCCCGTCTTGTCGGATTTCCGCAAGTCTTGAGCCACCTTGCATTCTCAAATTCCGTCTCAGTGACCCTTGGCAGCCCACCTCTCTCAACCAGGTGCCAAGGCCGTGACTTGAGTCTTTTCTTCTACATTGTCATTTTTTACTTGCGGCATTGCACGGTGTTAAAGGTGGGCGCTTTTTCCTTACTCAAACTCTTCAAAAACTCACAACATATATCCCCAGACACGATTAGACATCTGTATATGGGCTGCCTTGGACTTTCGTAACGGCTGTCCCCAGGGCTTTTTTTCTCTCTTCTCATTTTCTTGACGGGGTACGACTATGTCGGCGGGGGGAGGCGTGTGGAAGGACGATACCGAGATTGTTTTATTGGATGGACGATGAGACGCGGGGACGCGTTGATGAGTGCGACCGTAAAAGTTCGCACGGGGAGGCCCCCTTTGGCTGACGATATGACGCCAGGGCTTCTTGTTGGTGGATTGGATTATCCATATCCATCGTACATGTGTACATGACCCTATGCCTTGAGACAACTTAGGCAGTAATGTCATGACGATATGATAATGTTTGCTTGTCGTGCCGTGTGTATCGTGACATGTCAAGACATGCCTGCCCACAACGCATGCCCGTCGCTTCCAAAGACCCACTCGTCGAGACTGAACATGGCTGGGTCGCCGAAGAGCAGGTAGAAGAACTTGAGCGTCTGTGTCGTCATCCTCAACTCTTCCTCGTCCCGCAACTGCTCCAGCCTCGCCGCCACAACACGTTCAACGCTCGTCCACATTTCCCACGCCACGTCTCTCCACCTCTCCTCTCCCGTGACGCGGTACAGAGCGAACAAACTCATGACCATTTCTGGCCTGACAGTCGTCCGCTTGGCGTCCCACACCTTCTCGAAGCCCGGATACACTTGGGTGGGCCAAACAGCAGGCTCAAACGTGCAGTTTTGGGCGCTGTTCTTCAGGGCCGCCGACGAGCAGGCGAGCATCGAGAAGCTCTCTGGCATCGCGTTGATGTGGCCCAGAGGAGACGGAGGCGCGTGGAGAGACGTCCATATGCAGCCTTCTGTGACAAGACGCGCATAAGCGAGGTGCGTGTCGTTGTGAGTGAGTGCGGCTGAGAGGGCGAGGGTGCTGCCGAGAGCGCACGATGACGCGTCGATTGTGTGTGTACGTGTAATGTGGCCTTTGGGGGTCGTGTATGCGGTGCTGGCCATGAGTATTGAGGCGTTGGTGGGCGTTATGGGTCGGAAGAGGAGGTGCCGGATGGTGGCGTCGAGGGCGTTTGTTGAGACAGTCGTGTAGGGCGATGCGGCGGACGAGGTGCCAAGAAAACGGGTCATGAGTGCGGAGTGTGCGTACGCAGAGTGTGATGTCGTGTGGAGGTTGAAGGTGTTGCTGGATGTCAGGTCGAGGTTTTGGAGGTTGATGTCGGCAGGCCAGAGACCGGGTATTCTGGTTCGGCTTTGCTGTGATGCGAGGATGGTGATAGTGCGGGCTACGGCGTCGTAGAACCGCATGTCTCTTGTGAGCTGAGACAGCCTGGTAAATGCGAGACTGTATGATGTGAGATCTGCCAGTGTGGCATGCTGCGATACTTGTTGTTCTTCGCCGTTTGCAGCTTTCGTTGCGTTCCACCGCGTGACCGGGAGACGGTTTGGAGTGTCGAAAAAGGTGTAGAGCATGTCGCCCACTTCCATGGCTTTGCTCAGAAGACGGGCATCTTTACACGTGGTGATGTCATATGCGGAGAGTAGAGCGGAGAGTAGTTGCGTGGTTTGCAATAAACTGGTTACTCGTTCGTCAGGGGCAAAATCCGTCCCTGTGATGACTGTGATGGCTTCTTCGAATTCTTTCCGCAGTCCCATGATGCGGAAGGTCTCGAGGGTTTCTGCGAGCACGATGCTCCGGTCTACCGATGGCTGCGGTGTTCTGTCGTTTAGTGAGCCCGTTTTGTGTGCATTCCAATGCCGTTTGAATGTCGCTTTTACGGCTGCTTGACGACCCTTGCGCACTGCCGTCTCCTGGTACGAGGGCGTGTGTAGACTGAAGTCATACTGTATTCTTGGAAGACCCTCGCGCGTCCAAATTGGTAGCTGTGCGAGGCGGCCTACTGGATGCTGTTGGATGCTGGTTCTCCAATCAAACCTGGCGTCGGAAGAGGTTACTACGGCAGGATAGGAGAGCTTAACGGAACAAGAATGCGTGGACTGAAGGGAAGGGAGAAACCAAAGAGGGCCTTTGGGCCGGTGGAGAAGCAGGATGAAGATGACGATGAAGATGAACAGTCCTGTCCATCTTGTGCCAGTTCGTGCCCTGGAGGGCCAGGGGCTCAAACTGAGGGAGCCTTTGCGGGTATGCATAGGGATCAAGAGGCTGTAAAAGGTGAAATGAAGTTCGAGGACAGAATGCAGACATAAACCACCAAGGCGGTGGGCGCCTGTAACAATTCATGTTTCGATGGGTCAGGTACTAGCTGCCTCTCGTCCAGGCGCTTTGCATCGTTGCGTGTGTCAGGTGGGTTTTCGGGGCAGACCTACCTGAGAACAAGTAAGGTTTAACGATCGCCGACTTCGAAACATGCACGCCCCCCAGCCCGAATTCTAGTGTGCGATGATTGCATCATTTAACGATGGTTTTCATAGGGCGATGAGGCGCTAGAGCTGTGATGGCTGTATGTCAGGTTGGTGTGGTGTTTGGGAGGGCAGGGAACGAGGGGCGCGGAAAATATAGAGGAAAAAGAAACGAAAATTCACATGACGAGACTGTAAAATATTTTTGCACTGCTAGTGCAGCTCTACGAGGAATTTTCCAGTCTTGCACCGCGAGCAGTGGGATTGTGGGAAACGAGGGAACTCGTGGGTCGTGCGGGTCTGCATGCAGCATGTGCGTCAGTAGCTTGGCGCTTTCCTCCTTTCCATCAACAATGTTGAGATGCGAGAGCTTTACCGTTTGCTCACCGCGCAGCCATGTAGCCACCGCTTCTCCCGTAACTCTAATTTGTAATTATTACCATACCCATGTATACCTTTCTTCGGGCCTACTGATCCGGCCTCCCTTTCCGTCGCAGCCGCAGTCATGCGCATTCCTCTCTTCCGCATCTGGTACTCGACCACATATACCGCGCTTCTCATCATCCTGCTCCTGTTCCTCGCCGTCACGCCCGGCGACACGATATACCAGGCGATCAAGGCCCGCGAGATCCAGAAGCTCTTCGTCATTGGCGGGGTTTACTTGCTCACGGGTCTGATTGTGTTGTTGATCTACTCGACGCGCATCTACACGAATAGGACTGTGCTAGCCGCGATACCCAAGAGCTATGTGCCGGTTGAGGAGGGAGAAGTGGGCAAGGGCGTGAGGAGGATGGTGGTGAAACATTTCAAGAGGAGTGCGGTTATTGCGTGGGACAGCAGGCCACGGGATCTTAGGGGCGAGGTGGACGATGGGGACGAGAATGAGGACGAGGAGAAGGGGCGACTTTCACGTCCGAATACTGGCGATAGCAAGAAGAACAAGGAAAAGGCGCACAAAAAGAAGGGTCACCACTCGCACCATGGGCTTGATGCGACCATCATCCCCGTCTGTGCAAAGTCACCACCTTGGGGCCATATCTCGCATCCCGGCTGGGCCTCCCCGTCGTCGCCCGACCTCCCAAACCTGCAGTATTGGAGTGTTATCTGCGAGCTTCCCAATCTCATCGAAGCCAAGGCTGTCTCGCTTGCGCCGCCCGACCCTGCGCTTGAAGAAAGCGTGCAATACCCGGACAACGCACCGCCTCTACCAGACGCCCGAATCGTGACTTTGCTCCAGCGGCCGCGCGCAATGGGTCTACGCGAATACCTTTCGCGCCTCGCAGAATTCGGGCTGCTGACTCCGCCCTCGCTCGGCCCTAAATTCCTGGCGCAATACGAGTACGCGCGCTTCTCCACGGCCTACCTGACCGAAACACAGTTCCGCGAGCTCATGGCGGTATTCGCCGAAATCCTCAACGGCATGACAGAAATAGATCCGGTTGTTATCGAAGAAGCGCGCGCGCAGGACTTTGAATCCGACACACGCAGTCTCGCGCCCACAGAATCAAGCCTGGAATCCAGCGTCTCGTCGCAGTCGCAAATGCCCTACCGCACGCCGCAGCTCGACCGCAAATCCACCCTGTCCTCTCTCAGCAGCTCCTTCACGTCAAGCAGCGGCGTCTCGACTCCGCATTCCCCGCAAACAGTGCGCACCGCGCCCTCACGCCAGCCCGACGCCGCCTCCAGCATCTTCGGCACGCCCTCGCAGCGCTCCCTCGCGCGCTCCGAATCAGACACTGGCTCTGTCCTTGTCCGCGACCGTACGCGACGCAGTCCAAGTACCATTCTCCCGAACTCCAGTGAGAGCTCCCTCGGCACGGCCGGTAGCGTGATTCGCTTAAACACGAATTCAAGCCATGGCGAACTCCCGTATCAATACAATTTCGATGCGGGGTGAGGAAGATGTGGTACTAATGCATATACATCTTCATACATCATACATCATCCAACACGTAGCGCAAATCGTGTAGCAGAGCAGTCCGCGGTTAGGCAGCTACGGTAGCGCCGTGAGAAGCTAGGCTAGGCTTGGAAGAGACTTGCGCTATAAGCGAAGAACAGAACATGGGTTTAACCGCCTAGGACCAGCGTCGTCATCTGTAAGGAAGAGGGGAAGGGGAAGGGGAAGAAAGAAAAGACGCAGTATTCTACATACGAGTAGACAAATGGCTACACACACACACAGAGAGAGAGAGAGAGACAGAGTACCAGAGAAAAATCAATGTAAATCTAGAAAATCGTACATGATACATGATACACACGAGTCGTATAACTCACTCTATTAATTTCCATTCTTTCCTTCTCTTCTATCAAATCCCATGTTTTTTTTGGTTCATCACACACACACACACACACACACGGGTTTGAAGTTTACACACAGCTATGGCGTCTGAACATGTACACTTACTTACTCACTCACTCACTCACTCACTCACTCACTCACTCACTCACTCACTCACTCACTCACTCACTCACTCACTCACTCTTACAACATGTGCATTTACACTCTTTTTTTTTGCATAGTTAGTTGTTTTTGCCATACTTGTTTTCCTACTTTCTCTCTTTTTTTAGTGTTTGTGTGTGTGTGTGTGTGTGTGTACATACACACTACTACTACCACCAGCCCTAGATTAAGATTAAACTTTGTTGTAGCATGTAGCATGTAGCATAGCATATGAGATGTGCTATGTAGGGTACTTGGTGCGTGTGGTCTAAGTGAGTAGACTCACTTTACTTTACTTAACTTAACTTTACTTTACTTTGGTAAAAATGAATGATAAAATGATAAAATCAACAACTCAATCAACAACGTAACCAACCAATCAATAAATCCATCAAGCTAAGTCAACGTAATCAACACATACGTACACATGACCAGACCAGACCAGACCAGGATATCCATCTCGTTGTTCATCGTGTTGGTTGGTTAGTTGGTTGGTTGGTTGCTTGGGTAGTTTTTTTTTCTTTTTCTTGCTTGTAGTTCACGTGTGGCGACATGTACGTACTCAGCTGTAAAATCAAGTAAGTAATAGTAATAATAATAAAATTAACAAAAAAAAATCAACGACTTGATTAACAAATCAACAACGTAATCAACTAATTCATAAATAAATAAATTAGAATAAGTGAATTTCATTAGAATAAGTTAATCAATAACCTAAAAAAAAGATACTTGAAACCTAATTAGTAAAGAAAATAGATACATGTAAGTACATACAACGGTCCCTTGTTTAACCTTGTTTATCTTGTTTATCCTTATTCATCCTTGTTCCTTGTTGTCTCTTTTTTTCTTTTCTTTTTCTTTTTTTAAATACTTCAAGGGAGAGAGCAAGAGAGGGATAGAGAGAGAGAGAGAGAGACAGAGAGAGAGACAAGGGAGGCAACAAGGACGTTGAATTTTTATTTTTCTTCTTTTTTTTAAACAAAAGAAAAGGGACAAAAAGATTAAAGAAAAACCATTTGCCATTTGCCATGTGGCATGTGGCATGTACATGGCTTAATTCTATCCATTTACATATAACCAACATAAACACACATACATGCACACACACACACACAGCATATAATGTCAAGTTATTGATATACATTGCATTGCTTTACTTTACTTTTATTCCCTATGTGTCATGTACAACATACATACATTTACTCGGCAACCCACACAGCCGCCATACCCATACCGGTTCCAATACACATGCTGGTAACGCCAATGCGCTGCTTGGTGCGCCTGAGTTCGGTGAGGAGAGTGCTAACCTGTCGCGCGCCGGTGACGCCAAGAGGGTGACCAAAGGCGATAGCGCCGCCCTTGGGGTTGATTTTGTTTTTGTCGAGACCGAGCTCGTTGATGCAGAAGAGGCACTGACTGGCAAAGGCCTCGTTGATTTCGTAAATGTCCACGTCGTCCTTGGCTAGACCGGTTTTCTCGAGGACCACGGGGATGGCGGCCGCGGGGCCGACGCCCATGAGGAGCGGAGGCACGCCGACAATGGAGGCTTGGACGAATTTGCCGAGGATCTTTTGGCCAAGACGCTCTGCGGTGCTGCGTTTCATGAGCAGCACGGCAGCGGCGCCGTCCGAGATTTGCGACGCGTTGCCGGCGTGGATGGAGCCGTCCTTGGCAAAGGCAGGTCGGATCTTGCTCAGCGACTCGGGCGTGATGCCTTGCCTGACGCCGTCGTCTTTGCTGACGGTAATGGTTTCTTCCTTTTGCGTCTTGGGGTTTGTCCACTTGACAGTCAGGGGCGCGATTTCCTCGTCAAAGAGGCCTTGCTTTTGCGCCTCGACGGCCTTTTGGAACGACGACGCGGCAAAGGCGTCTTGGTCTGCGCGCGCAATGCCCTTTTCTTTGGCCATCTGCTCCGAGAGCACGCCCATGGGCACCTTGCAGTTTGCCGCCTCTTCGTGGTTCTCGAGGAGCTCTGAAAACTCCGTCACGGCGCCAGGGCCGTATTGTGTGCTCATGCTCTCTGCGCCGGCGCCGATGCCAATCTCAATCATGCCCGACTTGATGGCGTTGGCAATGTCGACGCAGGCCTGAAGACCAGACGAGCATTGCCTGTTCAAGCTCTTGACGGCGGTTGTGGTAGGGAAGCCGGCAGCAAGAGCAGCAGCACGGAACTCGGTCGCGCCACCGCCTGGAGCGAGCACAGCACCGACAGCAATATCTTCAACGAGTTTGGGGTCGATGCCCGAGCGCTCGATGACGGCCTTGTAAGCACCGTGGAGGAGATCAGCTGCCTGTGTGTCTTTGAAGCCACCCTTTCCGCCCTTTGTAAAGGCTGTGCGGAGAGCGCACGTCACGACGACCTGTGAACTCGTCAATACACATAGTGGTAGAGCAGCACGCAAAACTCACATCATCAGGCCTCTTCTCCAGCAGGCTCTGCTTTCCCTTGGCCGCCGACTTTGCAGCACCACCCGAGAGATGGCCTTCGACCTGCGAGAGGCGCTCTTGCACTGTGTCCAGCACCGTCAGCATACCCAGCAAACTGTGCACGGCCAGCGTGTCTTTTCTTGCATAAACAGCGCATACCTTTGTTGGGAGCTTGGTTTGCCATGTTGGACTCTGGTCAGGGATGTATATGCAAGGCTTGGAGATTGGGGGGATGAAAAGCAAAAAAAAAAGTGTTCGAGGAGAAGAAAGACACGAGGGCAAGTAGTGATTAGAAGAGAGCCCCGGTCGATGGCTTTCTTCGCAGCTTGGACATTAGGTCATTTGCCTCACAACGCCGAGGTAACTTCTGCTTTGGGATTAGTGTATTTGCGGGGCGCGTCAGGCTCCGGGGACTAGCTTTCACATGCTTGGAGCGAGGCTGAATGCGAATGGCGGCGGTCAGGGAATCCTTCACATGCCATCAGCTGGGGTTCGCCATCATGTGGTCCGACTGTTAGCGTCGTGGTGCTGACGCAGCCATGTTTTTTCCCGATACCAACATCTCACGCAGGCTGAGCAATGGGGTGGAAGAACCTGTCAAAACCAAGCCAACCACAAAGGGCAGCTGTTACTATATACCTTCACGAGAACCAAGCCGAGTAGAGTAAAAAGGCAGATTTGTGACATGTCATGGCAGCCATGTGAAAGCTGATACCCCCGGAACGCCCTGCTCAAACACACACCAATTCCTTGGCACAAGAAAAACTCGACTTCATCGCTTGCTGTCGCCGTCCTGCCATGGATTATCCCGCACCTGTCTCTCGAGCTCATCCACGACGCTGTTCCGCTGCACCTCTTCGTAGCCTGGCGGCGGGTCTGATGGCGGCTCAAAGTGCTCTTGCTGTGTGCGCGGGCTCGACAGCGAGCTGGATGCTTGTGGACTACAAGGCTCGGGTGCTGCTACCACGGGACCGCCAGCACCCACGCCGCCTGTAGGGTGGTCCATGGGCGGGCTGGGTAGCGGATCAGGTACCCTAGCGTGCTGCCGGCTCTCTTCGTAGGCTGGTAGATCTTCCAGATGCACGTTGTTCATGTCTACGCCTCCAACACCTCTCCTTCCATCCTGCACATCACCCCCACTCTCCCGCGCCGTCTCGACAGCTTGCCGTAGCCGCTCCTTTAGTCTCTCGAATATGCTTGCAAAGTCGAATGCGCCGCCTTCTTTGAACTCGAGGACGAGCTCCAGCTCGGAATGCTGTGGTGGGATGCCGCCGCCCTGGACGGGCTGGATGACGGCCTCCCATTTGTTTGCGCCGAACCAGGGTGCTGTTACGCGCGAGTCGGTTACGTTGAGGATGGGGACGGCAAAGGACTGCAGTTGTGGTGTGGGGTTGACGGGTAGGTAGAGCACCTGGAAAGCAAGTTAGCTCAAGTCCAGATACATAGACGTGGGGTTGCGCCATCTTGCTAGACAGGAAAGGATATGGCGTACTCGTCGGTTGGTAAGAAAGACAATGCCCGACTTGCATTGCTGTGAATACGACTGGCTGGGCGAGTGTCGGTTGCTGGTCTGCAGCGACAGCGAGGTTCGCGGAGGAGACTGATACAGCGTCTGCTCGCCGGGGAGAGGCGTGTAGGCGCCATTCTCGGCGAGCATAACCCAGCTGGACTTGCGGTTAGACGGTGTCTTGGTCATGGACTTTTCGGAGATGAAACCCATGGTGCAGGTAGGGTGCAGAGGCGTGGAAAGAGGGGCAACAAAACACAAGGGGCGGGGTGAGAGAGAGACAAAGTAGGAGAAAGAGGAGAGACAGAGCTAGGTACTAACTTGACAGACATGCTTTGTGAGACGGGGGGAGGGGGGGAAGCTGCAAACTTGTTCACGGATCAAGCGTGAACAGTTCAGTTCGTCCACCACACCCTCTCTCTCAATGCACAAGCACAAGGCCCGGCCTGCGTCTGCGCCTGAAGCGCCCGCCGGAAACTCTATCGGGCCGATGTACGAGCATGTCCACGGCCCCAAGAGACGGTGGACCATGACGGAGAGGGAGGAGGGGTGCTAGGCGGGTTGGCTGGTGATGAGCGACATGATTGATGTGTGGTGGGGAGTCTTTTGGGCTTGGACAGGTTGGGGGGGGGGTGTATGGGAGGCCGGGGGAGTTTGGTACACATATGGGCATGCTTGGCTAGATAGTCGTCCGAGTATGAAAGGAGCATTTCCCGCAATGGGGGCAGCGCAGCAGGCAGCTTGGCGGGCGTGTAGTGCTTCTAGGCCTTGGACGGGCGAGGTGACGCAAGCGCGGCTCACGGGAACATCAGCAGACGCAAGAGCCGGCATGCCATGGCCGGCCGACTCGTGCTTGGCGCCTTGACGGGGCCATGGCCCTTCTGCTTCTCTCGCAAGACATGCAGCACACCTTTTCTTCCCTTCCACTACCCACGGTTCCCTTCCCAGCTCCCAAGGCATTGGACTCGCGACAAGCGCCCTCAGCGCCGCGATCAGGCTGTCCCGGCCACGCATCGAGGCCTCTTCTCCCAGCCAAAGCAATCCCTCCCCCCCCCCACCCCGCCCGCAGTTCGTTTCGTTCCCCACCACAGCCGCTAACGGCATCACTCGCATCCACGCTGGACGGCGCCTGATAGGCAGCGGCCGCGTCGTCTAGCTTCGGCGGTCCCCAGAGCCCGTTGCTGCTCTTTGGCGCTGCCTTTGCTCCCCAGAGACCTTGGGTGCTTGTCGCGCTCTGCTTCCGAGCAGCAGGGGCGCTGACCAACGGCGTAGACTTATCGCCCACTTCTCGTTCTTCCTTCGAGTCCAGTCTCGTCAGACGGTTGGTTGAATCGGAGCCGCTGTCTGCGTGCGGAACAGGCTTAGCATCGTTCTCGCTGTAAGACAGAGCAGGCGTCGTCGTCGTAGTAGTCGACTTTGACCGTGGCTGTTGGTGCACAGAATGGAGGCCCACTTCGGCTTCTCCCGCCGGCGTGCTGCTCCCCGACCACAACCCCCCTGCAGGAGATGCAGCCCCACTCATGGCACTCTGCATGTATCGCGAGTTTGATCCCGAGCTCATGGTCCGCCGCATGCTGCTCATAGAGCTATTCCGCGTCCGGTATGGCTCGCCAATCGAGAAGGGTGTCTCTGATGGCGTGCTGGCTGTCGATGACCCCGTAAACCGGCGACGGTAATCCAACAGTGGACTTGGCAACATGGCTGGCGACTGTACCTGTGCCTGTGCAGAGGGTGGTTTGGAAGGATCCACGCCGGGCCGCAGGTGGTCGACTGAAGCCGAGAGCTTCACTTCGTACGTGTCCGACATGCCGGGATCTGCAATAGAGAGCCGCCGCTCGTGGAGAGTCGCCGACACGGGCGTCTTCCTGGGCTCGTCTCTCCGTACGGCCATGGAAAGCGAGGCGAGTCCAATGTCCATGAGCACAGGTTGGTTGGTCATGGCACCCAGCAGCGCATTGCAGCCAGCCCCGTGCGTCACCAGGACAAGCACCAGTTCTTCCTCGTCCTCGTCCTCGTCATCGCCCAGTTTGGGAAAGGGCTCTGATTTGGTCTGTGCCTTGGGCGGCGGCGTCAGACGCAGCGGCTCCTTGAACATGAAGCCCGGAAACTGGTTCTTGGGAGGCGCGGTACCGTGAGTCCTGTACCACTGCAGCATCCCCGTGAGACCCCTCCTAAAGCGCTTGTGCATTGTGCTCCATTCGTCGCCATACTCACCGCCATCGCCCCAGTTCTGTGGTTCGCGCATACTGTCCCATTGGAAGTCAACCTGCACGCAGGCTTCCTGTGCATGGGCGACGTATCCGCGTGGTATAGGATCGGCCGGAGAGACCGAGTACGATGGGTGCGGGGGCTGGTAGACGCGACCTGGTTTGCCGGTAGCGGGCGTGTGTGTAGACGTATGCGCAGGCATCACGAGCGACGACACTGCCTCTCGTGAGAGCGTTTTTGGTACATCCAGCGAACCAGCATAGCTGCTCGACCGTTCGCGCAACGGGGCAGCCTGGGCCATGCTGCTCATAGCGGGCACAGCTCCCCTACCAGCACCCTGTGCAGCATTTGCAGCAGCCTTGTTTCCCGTCCAGCCGCCGGGAAAGTGGCCCTTGCTGCTGTTTGGGTTGGGCTGTTCTTGGATGTAGTCGCCTCTCCGCAGCAGATCTGCCTTGGCGCCTGCCACCATCATGGTCGAATTCGGCGGCGCGGTAATGTCGGCATAGTATTCGGGCGACAGCCACTCGCCCAAGAAGGCATCGATGCGCAGCAGTATCTTGTCGGGGCCTGCCTGGCGCCTTGCGCGAATCTCGAGGCTGGGGTCGGCGAGCGGCTCAAAGGTCCGGGGTTGCGAAGACGTCGACTTTGTGCGTGGCGCTTCCGGCGACGCGCTCCCCAGCACATGATCCTTTCCTCTTGCCGGCGTGGGCGCGCTGAGCTCGGGAACGGTCGGCGCGTAGTACTGTGAAATGCCCGCTGCCACGGCGGTGCTCGTCTGCACACATCTCAAGAAGGGGCTTGAGTGGATGACAATCTTGCGTTTCTTCTTCTGCCTCGGTCGCGGGGGCCCGTTTCCGTGCGCGTGCCTCTCTTGCGAGAGGCTGAGCCTGGCGAGATCGAGCTGTGTAGGGTCGTGGGTAGGAGACGTCTTGGTGGCGTCGGCGTGCTGGTTGTCCCTCTCGTAGAGAAGCGCGGCTATCCGCTGGCCGAGGGCTTTGGCCTGCGACCATCCGCCGTAGGTAAGGGGGGGATCGTAGGGCGCGGGAGACGAGAGATGCCACGACTTGTCAGCAGCATCGAGGCGTGCGCCGTGTCTGGCGACGCCGTTAGCTATGTACAGGCTCGGAATGTGGAGCCGTGGATGCGGTTGAGGCGGTACCTGGCGACAATTACTACTGCGGGACCTTTTGCCATGACGCGCTAAGCAAAAGCCTCGCGCCTTGGGTGCAGCTCTCGGGAAGCTTGGGCGGCGGCGGCGGGAGGGAAAAGAAGAATGCAAATGTGCAGCGCTCGCAAAGAAACAGGACGCGATTGTCGGCAGCAACAATGTGCGGCAACAGCAATGGGGCAGATTCTTGAAGTGATGATGCAGCGTAAGTAGCCACCCAGGGTCCAGCCGTCGGTCGGCCGAATGCAGAGGCGGGGCCTAGAATGCGCTTGGACAATCAATCCGCCGGCGCTGGGGGTGCACGCCATGTTGAATTCTTGGGGCCACATGACCGAGTGCATTCATTTCTACCAAATAGACTTTGTCGCCAATATGCATGACTGCTGCAAAAAGAAGAAGAAGAAGAAGAAGAAGACCACCATCACCACGACTGCCTGTCTACCCCAAGTAATCTCCATTCGACTCCTTGTGGATGACGTCAAACAGGGGTTTCGCACTGAACCATCCCGCAATGGGGCTTCCAATGGCCTTGTATGTGTACATGGCGTCCTCGTCGCTAATCTTGACCGTCTCGCCCCCGCGCCCTGCCGCCGCCGCATCCGCCAGCAGCTGCGCCTGGCAGCACTTTTCCATGCTCACGAACCAGAAGACGGCCTCCTCGACGGACCGGCCGACGGTCAGCAAGCCGTGGTTCTGGAGCAGCGCCGCCTTCTTGTTGCCCAGTGTCTGCGCAATGTTCTTGCCCTCCTCCTCGGCCAGCACCACGCCGTTGAACGACTCGTACAGCACGTGGTCGTTGTGGAAGGCGCACGAGTCCTGCGAGATTGTGTCGAGCGTGCGGCCAAGCGAGCAAAAGGCGCGCCCGTGGATCGAGTGCGAGTGTGCTGCCGCCACGACATCTGGCCGGGCTGTATGCACAGCATGGTGAATCATGTATGCCGCTGTGTTCAGCATGCGGTATTCGCCCCCGTCAATGACTTCGCCTTTGCCGTTGACGAGGATGAGATCTGACGCCTTGAGCAGGCTGAATGCCACTCCAAACGGGTTGACCCAGAAGGTTGTTGGGTCTACCGGGTCCTTTGCGCTATCAGCATTGTATTTTGCTTTTTCCCGTCATGTGCTACTTACCCTCAGTGTGATGTGACCAGCCACGCCCTCGTCGAAGCCATACTTGCCAAAGATGCGGAAAGCAGCAGCAAGACGGCCCTTGAGATACTCGCGCTCCTTGTATGGGTCGTCAAACGTGGGCGGTCTGGGGGCCTTGGCCAATTCCTTTTTGTTTAGGACCGTCGAGTCGGACGCGACCGTCGCCAGATGGGTGTCATGGGCTTGCTGGGGTTCAGTTGCCGACGGAGGAGACATGTTGGGTATTGGTGTAGAAGAGTCGACTTGGCAGGATAGAACCACACAAGAAGTTGTGTGTATGTGTATGTGTGTGAGAGATAGAATCAGAGGGAGGAAAAGAAAAACAACAATGGTGATATAGCGCCGCTAAATCAGCTGGAGGAGCTTCAAGTAGTGTGTGTAGGTCGAGTGTACCTCGGAAGTCACACGGTTCCCTTCCGAGCAATGCAAGCCACGTTGTCGGAACCATTTCCGAATCCAACCCATTCTTGCGAGTCTAGGGCGTCTATGTCAAACAAGGGCGGCCATGTATCGGCACATGATCCGGCTCTTATCGCCTCCGATGTCCGATGCGGATACCCAGATGGCATTCGATTATTCCCATGATACCTGTACATGTAGTATACGACATGTTCCCCGAGCCTCGCACTGCAACGTCTCCACATGTGTTATCGCAATCTTTATCTCAATTCCACAGAGTTGGAATCCCATCAAGTACACTGAGCGATAACCACATTTCCCCATCTCTCCTCGAAATTCCCATTCCCTCTAATACGTATTCGCGTTCAAAAACAAATCTATAGTAAGATTTTCTTAAAAACCCATTCTACTATAATACCATCCCAGCCCAATAATCCTCCCCACATACATCCATACAAAAATCTCCTCGCCGATACGGAAGCGCGGGAATCTTGGCCCACCGGGAGCTGACTGACTGCCAGGACCACCCACCAACCACGGTAAGCCTTTCACACCACGGTAACCCCACTTTGGCCCCATGGTCGGCCGACGTTTTGCGGTCATGGCCAAGAAAGGAGCATCGCGGGTGATGTGAGGCTTGGCGGGAAATAAGGCCTACTATACCTACACCTACTAGCAGTAGCGGTAGTAGTAGTGGTGGTGGTGGTAAGTGGTGGTTTGGGATGCGGGGGTGCAAAAGGGGAGGGGGGGGGGCGGCAAGGCGGCACGGGTGCGGGGTAAAAGACTTAGTCTGAGTGCATACAGTAGTGCGCCGCCGTCTCACAAATTGTCCAGGTATGACGGATCGAGGTTTGGGCGCACATACGTATGTGTGTGCGTGTGGGTTGGCGACGCCACTGGTATGCAAGCGGCTTACGCCAGCAACAATGGTAGCTGTGGGTGTGTGTTGTTTGGGAAATGGAAATGGAGATACTTGACATGTGGTGTTGGCGATGCGCATCAAAATCTAACAATAACAACTACAATAACAGTATTCTTCTTCTGCGACTTCACATGCGAGAATGCTGTACATGCATACATACACGTGTAGATGGATACGCACCACGCAGCTACAGCTACAGCTACTACAATGACAATACACAATGCAAGATGCAAGCATACTTACATGAAGATCGCCATGTCCTGCAGACTCTCCAGCTCCAGCTCCATGTACACAGATCACAGATGATCGGGGGCTATCCCCCTGTTTTACTAGTCCACTCCACTACCACCACCACTACACCCGCAGCTACCATCTAGTAACACTATCCTGCTGCGTTGCGTGGACAAGTATGGTGGGGTGTGGTGCTTAGTGTGAAGAGCGAACAAAGCGCAAGGGGGGGGGGCCTCTAAGTAATTCAGCTAAAAGCGTACCGGATTCCTGCTGCATGCACGTGACGTGTTCGGCCGGGAGCATGACCACGTAGCTGGGTTGGATTTGGTTTTCTTTGCACATACACACACTCACATGCTCACATGCAATCACACATGCGCTCACTCAAACATATATAATCCCAACATGCATACATACACGGGTATCCCGGCGCGGGGTTGGTAGTGGGTTTAGAGTGGTGGTGCTGGTGCTGGTGATAGTCGTGGTGCTGCTGCATCATCGCCCGATGGCATGGAACCGAGAAAAGAGGGGGGGGGGAAGAGCTGGACTAGCAATAGCTTCACGGAACCAGAAACCAAGAACACCGCTTGACAAGCGTTGTTTCTGCGTATTGAAGTCAGCAAGACGTAGGAAATGTGCAGAAAACCTTTTTTTGGTCGGGGTCATGCATAGTAGCTAATGGCAGTCTGATACATATGTTACCAGTAGTAGTAGTTAGGTGCGGGTGCAGGTGTTTGTCAGCTTAACCTGCATGGACGCGCAATGACCCAGGACGCGCAATGACCCACCCCACCAAACTCAACACCTACACAAAATACCTCATAACTCCACTAATATAGACCTAATTTAGGAAGCGATTGAAGAAATCAAATCGCGCGAACTAGGCGCATCTTTTAGCTATCGCTAAGTTGTAAAAAGGTTTGGCATTAGCTATCGTACGCTCGCTCGAAGACACTAAGGCAAAACTTAGCCTCGCGCGCTCGCCCACCTCTCTATCCACCTATAACGCGAAAAAGAGCTTGTACAGTACATTGAATCCCTTACTAAGAGGCGTACACCACCTTCGCGTCTAATAATACGCCATCTTGCGTCATCCTTGCTTGGTAGAGACGTTTTAGAACGCTGGGTTTCTAGGTTCCTCTGCAGGAACTCCTCTTATCTCATCTCTCGCTGGCAGAGTCCTATGGACTAGAAGCGTCACAAGGCTGATTTAGCAACTAAGTATAGGTTGTACTTTGAGCTGTTACACAATAAGATGAAGGAGTACAATATACAGCCCTCTCACATCTTTAATATGGATGAAAAGGGCTTCTTACTTAGAATCCTTAGAAGGTCTAAAAGGATCTTTAGTAAGAGGCAATATGAAAGAGGAGGAGTTGTTTCAAGCCTACAAGATGGCTCTAGAGAGTGGATTACAGTCCTAGCCTGTATCTGCTCAGATGGTACACCTCTTTT